AAAAAAAAAAGAAGGTTTTAAAAGAAATGTTTAAGAAAAAAAGAAAGGAAAGGAAAGGAAAATCTAAGAATGATAATAATAAATAAATATAAATTATAAGCAAAAATTTTGAGATTTTAAGTTTGAAAAGGCTATCAAAGCCTAAAAGAATTTCAAAAAAAGAAAAAAAAAAAAAACCACTGTAAGGAAGGATGCGAGCAAACTATGCTCTTATTAATAAAATTTATCGCGAATGTTACAGATTGTGTTACAAACGAATTCCTCGTTCGGGCGAATGATTGGGTCTCATTATATAATCAAGTATGGGTTTTTTTTTATATATATAATTTGTTTACTAATTATGTATTTGAAATATACTCATGATTTTAGCCAATCAAATCAAGGAATTTCGTGCCTAAATAAAGCGTTTTGGAATACAAGTATGCATATAAGCAGAACTATAAGATTTTTTTTTTACGAGATTCAATGTAAACAAAGAATTTGAAACAATTCAACACCTGAAAACTTGAATACAAACTAAATGACAGTTTTTTATTATATTCTATAACGCCAGGCTCAGGCTCAGGGGAGAAAACTTATTTTTAGTATTACTTCAGTTCGGTAAACTTGATATTCTTTGGTATTATAATATATAATTAAATGAAATCATTTTTCGCCTTAACATTGTCATTTCCTCAGCCATCAAACAATCCGGACGAAACACGATAATAATTTTTTTCCTAATTTTGGAAAACAAACATCGATATCATATATAATTTTCTATTTTTCTAGTGCAATATAAATTTCAGTACTTTTATTTGCCATTTCAAATTAAAAAAATATATCACAATAAATAAAAGATAAATACTTTTGACAATCCATTGTTTTTCCACCCGAAATTTACATCATACGATTTTTTCTATCGGTAAGCTAGTCTATAATAAGAAGTCTTTAATTTATCAACGAATCATGGGATGAAACATGAATCATTTTAGTAATGATCATAGGCTTATGTTTTAAATAAAAAAGGTCATAACTAACGATTAATGGAATTCATTCGTCTATATAATCAAATTAAATTTATTGTTTAAAGGTTAATATTTACAAATATAGTAAATATGGTTAGTAATGATGATCATCACACATTTATATATATGACGACGGGATTTCCGTAATTCGCGAAATCTTGGCAAACGAAAAGATTTAAATTTTCATATGTACAAAAGATTAAAATTTTATAACTTTTTTAAAATAAATAAACAAAAACTCTTGAAAAATATTTTTTTATTTTAAATAATTGTGAGTAATTTTTTAATACTGTAATGTAATTAATTTTATATTACTTATGCAAGAGATAATTTTTTTATCAGAATGTGAAAATAAGTGTGAAAATATATGCGTAATATGCCCATTAAAAGATGACGCACTATATATTTTTGTTGTACATATATGATACAACAGCAATAGATACATATATACACACACAAAATGTATGAGAAAATAAAATAACATCTTTATCGGGTAAAGACTAAAGAGATAAACTGATTTACTAAAATATCAAATATCCTTGACCATTACTATAACTTAATTTTCTTTTTTCCGCTTGAAATATAATGACTTTATTCCTTTACTTTCAAATATATCGTAAGTTGTAACATAATTAAATGATTGAAATTAATTTATTTTTTTATGTAATTTTTAATTTTTTTTTCAAAATTCGAATAGTATAATTTATATATATATATATATATGTATATTTATTATACATTAACATTATATATACATTAACATTATATTATTTATAATTATATATATATATATTTTAATACATTCATATTATTTATATATATATATATATATTTTTTATACAATTTTATACATTATAACAATAATCTGATTATTCGGTTTAAATATGGTAAATCCTGTTATAGTAATTTTTGTTATTTCCGATAACCTGAAACCCATGATCGGAATTGTTACATTAATACATTTATATTCAATCAATATTAAAAGTGCATGATTCTAGAGTAAATGTCACCATTTGAACAATTTGAAACAGAACCAACACATATCAGCGTTAAACTTAAAATAGTTTTAAGTTTAAAATCTCCTAAGTTTCAGTATAAAAGATTTCAAGAACTAGATGAGAAACAGGTTAGAAGCTCGGTTTAATTTATTTTTATTATCACATTATTAGTACATTTATAAACACGATTAAAAAAAATCTTTTTTTTTTTTTTTGATCTTAAAAAATGTTGATCTAAATTTATCAATTATATATGTAATACATGCAATCGAAATATCGAATATACGTAAAAACGCAAAACTTTATTTCTAACCAATCAAATAAAAGCAAGTTTTTCATAAAACTTGAATGAAACGTGAAAATATAATTTTCTTTTTTTCGAAAAAGTTAATAAACCGTTTGTCATTAAGCGAAAATCCCCGAAGAAGCCGGTCAAAATACCCAAAAATGGCATGATAAATATATGTTATATGTGTACTGTTAAAATGTTAAATGCATGTACACGTGACCATAACTGGTGTGTGACATTCGGTCTTTTGATCTAGACCCCTGATAGGGTAAATGTTAATATATATAATATACATTATATATTAATCAAATGAAAATCGATTTAATCCCGTCAAAAAACAGAAAAAGAATTCCCTTTTTTTTTTTCTTTTTTTAAAAAACCGCAGAAAAAGGAACTTTCGATACATTTTAAAATAAACAATAAAAATAATGTTGTAAAACAAAGAAATGAAACGAATCATGCATACTCATGCCCTTATTACATACTTTAATGTTTATTATTATTATGATTTAATCAATTTCAGAAATCAAAAATTTTTATTCAATTATTTTTCAATATACAGTTATTAAAGTATTTATTTTTTTATTTATAGTATTTATATCAGATACAAATTATACACATACACATGTGCTGATTATTCAATGATTTTCCATATGTGCGTACACACTACACAATGCACATGTGCACATTTTTAAAAAAAAAGAAGGGTGCAAAATGTATACAATTTTATTTTTTTATTTGTTGTGAACTTTTAACCTAATTTCCGTTTTAATTTGTAAAAATTATATAACCTCTTTCTTTTAATGAGATCAAAAATAAACAATTTTAATTTACATAAACATAAATGTACAGATTTCCAACTTAAAGTATAGTAATACTTTAAACTTTATTATACTGATATAACGCAAAGTTTCATTCTGTCTGATCGGCATCGTCGCTAATAAACTGATGATCTTACTGTATTATATATAGTATATAATAGTATGTTTGGCGTATATACAAAGCATACAAAGCGTACAAAGCGCGAAAAAAAAAGAAAAAAACGCGTTAAAGAAACCTTATATTTATCATATTTATCATATTTATCATATTTAATATGCTTTTAAAACAATAAAAATGTAAATGATTGAAAGAATTTGAATTTGATTTAATAATGTTATATAAAAAATAATATACATTTAGGACTCTGCCCAAAAAGTTACAAAGTGATTACGTTGTTGTACATATGTCCAATCGTTGTCATCATTGTTATCGTTGTTATCATTTTTATCGTTGTTATCGTTGTAAACTTTTTTATCTTCCTTTGTCAAAAGAAAAAGAAATAAATATAAATAATATCTCAATATATATTGTAATACAATATATAAGGAGTTATTATTTTTTTTTTTTCCTCTAAATAAAAAATGTTTAATTGTATAATTTCTATTTTAAATTTTAAAGAATCCTAACTAATGTTTTACAGGTAAATTTTATGGATTCCTAAACCTAAATCATATTTTTAATTCTCGTCTTTAATAATAAATTTAACTAGGGAGTGGTGGAAGTTTTTTATCACTACTATTGTCCTGATTATTATTATTATTATTGGTATTAAACAGTGTACTTGAACGTGATCTTGGACGAGATTGAAAATTAGGTGTAGAAATATTTCTTCGAAGTTTTTGCCAAGTAGATGAAAAATTATCACTATCATCTTTTTTATTTTCATCATTATTATTTGTCCCGGGTGAACACGGATAAGAACTTGGCATGCATCGAAATTTTTCTAGACTACTTAAATAAAGTACAGAAGAAAGTGCTGATACAGAAAAATGATTTGAACTTGTTGAATTACGACGACCTAATAACATTCTTTTGGTGATATGTGATATGGACATAGCTGATGCCATTGACATTCTTTGTTGATTATTTATTACTGTAATTGGTACCACTGGTACCGTTGATGTAGGGGTTGTTGGAATTGAAAACGTAGTTGATGTAGATGTTGTAGATGATGTGCTTGAGAATGTACTAGTGGATGTGGGAGATGATGCAGATGATTGTGATGAAAATTGTGGGGGAATAGGTGATGGAGGTGGTGAAATATAAGGTGAGGTGGTTTGTGATGTAGTTTCACTAGTTGTTTTTAATGAAGCAATGGCAGAATTCATTTTAGCACGAAGTGATCCAGAAGAAAGTGATTTTCTTAAAGAAGGTTGTTTATCAGGGGGACGAAGATAACAAAGAGAAGAGGTTGAAGAATTTAAATAATTTTCTGATGAGGAAGGTGATGATAATATTGCCATCGAATTACGCGTAAATTTTGGTAAAGAATCTTGTAACATTAAATCAAAGCAATGTTGTTGAAGTTTATCAAATAAATCGATGGTAAATGAATTTTGAGAAATTTTTTGTTTACATTGATTTAAAAGTTCTTGAGGAACGTTTAAAGGTTTAGAAGAAGTTTGAGGATCTAAATATTCATTCCATATATAATTAGCCGCAGTAATAATTTCATTATTTTTTAAAATTTCTTTCTTAAAATTTGATTGAAATTTTAATATATCCATATAAAAATCTAAATTTTCTTCACAATATCTTGAAACTAAATAATTTCTAAAATTCTCTCTTGAATTTTTATCATCAATTATTTGCATTAATCTTATTCTACCAGATTCAACATTTGTTGAAGATCTTGAATGCCCTTTAACCGAAATGGTAGATTTACGACGCTTATCCTTGTCCGTAACACTAAGTATTGCATCTTCTGGAGGTATTATTGTAGTTAAAGAAGTTGTAAGTAAACAACTTTCAAACCCTGTCTCCTCTGTTACTTGCCATTCAAAAGCAGGTAATTCTGGTATAATTTCTTGGTTTAAATTTTTTTCCTAATAAAGTAAAAATAAAAAAAAAAAATGTGAGAAGAAAATTTTTTTTTTTTTTTTTT